GAAGGGTTGCTATGACACGTAACTGCGACAACAACAAATATATTAATTTCATGCTTCTTTTTGATGTGGCTACTTGAAAATTTAAATGATACACATGGCTTTATTATATTCGCTGGACAGTCCCTAACTGAAAGGTTGGTGGTTGGAACCCGTCAGCTGCTCTGCAGGAGAAAGATGAGGCAGTCAGCTTCCCTAAGGATTGCAGCCTGGGAACCCTATGGAGCAGTTCTATTCTGTCCTCTAGGGGCGCTGTGGATCAGAATCCACTGGACTGCAGTGGTTTGGGCTTTGATTTCCTTAAAGTGACAGCCTGGAAAAAGAGGGAGGGGGAACCAGGTTTGCTGATCTGATAGAGCCTGGTGGAACCACTGAGATTCTGCCCTTCAGGTCTGGAATTGAACCCACACCTGCGGCTTCCAGTCAAACAAAAGACAGGCATATGAGTTGAACATTTACCCGAGGTAGATACACTCCTTGGAGAGAACAATCATGGGAGAAAGAAGGGCTGCTTATGCACAGGGAGACAGCTCAGGGGGCAGGAGTGCATGAAGGGACAGACATGGGAAGAGGTAAGTATCGGGAGGAAGTGGGAGGGGAGCTGTTGCAATGGGGTAAAATATAGTCAATGTCATGAAGCAAGGTGTATGTGAACTACTGTATGGAAAGCAAATTTGCTCTATAAACTTTCACCCAAATCACAATTTAAAAAAGAAAAAAAGATTACAGCCTGGAAACCCTATGGGGCAGTTCTACTCTGCCCTCTAGGGGCGCTATGAGTCAGAATCAATTCAATGACATAAGTTTGGTTTATCACCCTTTTGCAGTATGTCATCAATAATGGTCTTCTGCAAAGTTGTTTTCACGAACTGTTCCAGTAATGTATAAGGAGAAATGGCATAAGGTTGAATTTCTTTCAATGACAACGATGAATCTTAATCAGTTTATTTTATCCATTCAAAAATTTCTTTGACACGCTAAACTTGTATCATTTTTCCTTCCTTCCCAGACACTTTTGGTAAAAAGTCATTGGTCATGGAACACTGAGATTGCTTCAAGGAAATTTCAATGTCTGGATCAAACTCAGTTTCTTAAGAACCTTAACATTTAGTAGTCCCACAGTTATTCTGGTTGACCAAACACCCAGTGCTCAATGTTAACACGTGGGAGAAATGGGTGTGGTTGTAAAATTCCAATTCTGAGCTGGATATTCAGAAAAAGCTTTTTTCTGTTCAATGCAGAAGGGTTTCCACAGCACACTGTATACTGCAACTGCCCCTCCCTACCCTCAATACCTACTGCCACCGAGTTGATTCTGACTCCTAGCAACCCTACAGGACTTCCCTTAGGTTTGCATAGGCTGTAAATCTTTAAGGAAGCAGACTGCCTCATCTTTCTCCCGCAGAGCAACTAGTGGGTTCACACCACTGACCTCTTCTGTCAGCAGTCAAATGCCTTAACTACTGCACCTAACAGCCTAACAGCAACAAAGCACTGACATCAAGTCTATTCCAACTCACAGTGACCCTTTAGGACAGTGAAGAACTGCCTCGTAGGGATTCCAAGGCTGTACATTTTTATGGAAGCAGACTGCCTCATCTGTCGCCTATGGAGTGGCTGGTGGGTTTGAACCACTGACCTTTTGCGAAATGCTTTAACCACTACGCCACCAGAGCTCTCCTTACTAAGGCCCAGGGTTGTAAAATCTAGAAATTGTTTCCTGGTTATCTACCTAAGAAGCTCTGATGGCATGATGAGTAAGCCATCTGACCGCTAACCAAAAGGTCAGTAGTTTGAACCCACCAGTTGCTCCATGGAAGAAAGATGGGGCAATCTGCTTCCACAGGATTCACAGCCTTGGAAACCCAATGAGGGTTGGAATCAACTCAATGGCAGTGAGTTTTGTTCTGCTTTTTTGGTTATCTACCTAAGGAGCTCTTGTGGCCTAGTGGTTAAGTCATGTGGCTGCTAACCAAAAAGACCAGTGGTTTGAACCCACCAGCCACTCTGCAAGAGAACAATGAGGCAGTCTGCTTCTGTAAAGATTTACAGCCTTGGAAACCCCATGGGGCAGTTCCACTCTGCCCCACAGGGCCATTATGAGTTGGAATCAACTGACAGTAGCCATTTTTTTTTTTTTAAAATATCTATCTGACATTCTTCACTTACAGATTTAGTATAAGTGCCGCCAATGGAGCAGCACATTAGAATAATAATGTTACCCTTTGTGATTTGACAGATACTGGAAAATCATTTGTTGAACATGTTTCCCCAGTGATGGAGCAAATTTACATTAGTTCATCTATACATACTGATTCAATTCCTTCATGACTGACATTTACCAGACAGCTGCTATAAAAATGCAACACTTGGTTACAGAGGAAAAGCTCTGAGCCACTGAAACTGTTACTCAGGCTTCATTAGCTCTAATAACCAAAGCAACCCAGCACTCAAATTTTTTCTGGCTATAGAGTGAAAAACTTTTCTGGTAGAAAAAAAAAAGTTCCAGGAATTCTGGAACCAAAATTCTTTTGTATGATGCAACACATAACTAATTACCACAGGAAAACTATGCAAAATGAAGGGACAAGAGCTTTGGTTTCCAGTTATAATTTTGCTGTGTGTGTGTAACATGCATCAAGTCCTTGCGAATTTGGAAGTCATTTTAGCTCAAGCTCTCTTCAGTGCCAAATGTCTATAAATAATTTTAAGATCTTAGATGAAGAAACTTATCTACTATGATCATTCCAGTTGGAAGTGATCTCTACCTACGCCACTACCCTTTATAAAACTTGTCTGTACCACTCCATAATAGTAATCATAGGTTGCTTTAAGTTATCTCCTTAGCTCCCTTATAATTCGACATGTTTGGAAGGCAGGGAATCTCAGCTAATATAACTTAATATCCCTCTTTAGTCTTAATACAACGTCGTGCAGTTTTTCGGTACCAATATATTCTACTGGAATGACTGGACAGTACTTGGCAGCATTGTGGTTCCTGCCTGTTTGTGCTCCCCACCCCCAATTCCTCTCACTGGATCTGGCTACCAGCCAGTAACGGGGAAAGTGTTATTTCAGCTGTCTTAACTCTAAAAAATTACAGCATAAACAATATCCACGTTTAAGAGTTCAGAGAGGATCTAGGACCTTATGGTCTAGCAAGCACCTCCAATTCTTTCCAACACCTCTGGCACATCCACGTTACAGAAAATCAGTGTTAATGCTAATGTACTGATCTCCTCACTAGTGCAATGTATAGAGTGCCATCAGTAAGTATCTAATGAATGGAAACAAGAAATGATTACCTTCAGAATGATGATGAGTTGGTTTCAAAGCCACTAAGTACCATCCATTCAGGCATACTCAATATGGGAGCTCATATCACCCACCTACTGCCATCAAGTGGATTCTGACTCATATCAACCCTCACTGGGTTTCCAAGAATGTAAATCTTTACGGAAGTAGATTGCCTCAACGTCCTCACCTGGAGCAGCTGGTGGGTTTGAACTGCTGTCCTTCTGGTTAGTAGCCAAATGCCTTACCCACTATGCCACCCTCCCTATTTTATAGTCCTAGTTGAGATTTTCCAAAGAATCCTATTAGAGACCCTTGAATACTGTGAAACTTCAGATTGTTGTTACATGCAGTCCAATCAATTTCAACTCATATTCACCCCATGTGACAGAGTAGAAGTGCCCCCACAGGATTCTCTAGGCTGTAAGTTTTATGAGAACAGATCACCAGGTCTTTCTCTGGCAGAGCAGCTTGGTGGACCCAAACCTTTCGGTCAGCAGTCTAGTGCTCGTTGTTGTTGTTGTTATGTGACGTCGAGTTGGACCCAACTCATAGCGACCCCTCCTTGGGGTTCTGAGGCAGTATCACTAAGGAAGTAGATTGCCCCATGTTCCTTCCAAGGGGTGGCTGGTGGGTTTGAACCGCCAGACTTCTGACTAGCAGTTAAGTGCCTGAGGCACTGAGCTACCAAAGCTCCCAGTCTAGTGCTAAATCCCCTTTAAAAAAAAAAAACAACAAAAAACCAAACTCACTACTGTCCATAGCGACCCCTCCCTGGGCTTCTGAAACAGTATCTCAGTATCTCTAGGAAGCAGATTGCCCAATCTTCCTTCCGAGCAATGGTTGGTGGGTCTGACCTGCCAGTCTTCTGGTTAGCAGTACGCACTGCGCCACCAGAGCTCCAGCTTGGTGGCCCAATTTTCGGTTAGCAGCCTAGGGCTTAATCCCTTAGGCAGAGGCAAACCCATCCTCTAATCACCAATACAATTTAAGGGTTGTCTCTGGACCCTCGTTTGGTCTGATACTTGGTTAGCTAAACGAGGTCAAACATGCATTTGTCTTGAGTCAAATTCTGTTCTATGGCAAATTTATCAGAGATTCCAAAGTCTTCTAACTCCAAGCTGAATAAAAATAAAAATAAAAAGAGTTTAGGGTCCACATCAGGAGGTAAATGCAATTTAATTCACAAAGTGTATATAGGATTCAGGTCAAGGGCCCAAAGTTTTAGCAGGAGATCCAGGGAGTTTCGCCTTGATGTTAACCGCCTTAACGACTTTAATCTTAACAGCTTCAGGGAACTGAGTTCACTTCTGAACACAGCCTGCCAAAAGTTAGAACTAGGACATAGAGTCAGAAACAACAAAAACAAGATAAAAAATTTTTATCCCTAGCAAACTTTTAAAACTTTTTTCGATGGCATGTTTTCTATGCAGCCAAAGCATGACAACTCAAAATCATTCCGCTTTTCTTTGAAATTACAGATCTTCTCGAAACTCCTACAGCGTCTTCATTCGTTCTTCGCACTCTCGTTTCTACACCCTCAAAGTCTGCGAACACGATTTTCCTGGCAGAAGCACCCTCCTCTGGAGATGTGGCCTTGGGGTGGGGCTGGCGGACACAAGCAGGCCCCTGGGCGCGAGGTGAGAGCTGCGTATAACCCCAGCACCTGAATGCCCTCTGACCCTCCAGAGGCAAACACCAGTGACCCGCTAGTTCGAAGGACTCAGGGAGTGGCAGGGCCCAGGGGCGGAGAACAAGGACAGCGAGGCACAAAACAGTGCCCGGTCGGACGCAAACCGGGAGATGAAGTTGGACAGGACCCGGTCACCTGCCCAAAACGCGCGTGAAGGCGAGGACGGCCTCCAACCCAGGCTGCTCGCCCAGGGTCCGGGATCCCAAGCGGGCTCAGGCCCGGCGCCCCGGCGCTACCAAAAACACGACCCCGAGAGAAAAACGCCCCCGCCACGCCAGGAGCGAGGCCCGGCGACACAAAGAAAACTAAAAAGGCCCCGGCGGCGGAAGGGCTGAGCTCGTCATACTTACCTTTCCCGCCGCCGAACTACCGTGGCCGCAATTCACCCACCGGCGCCGCTCACGCGCGCAAGTACACCCCAACCGGAAGCGGCTCTACGCCCCGCCCCCATCCGCCTCGACGGCGGCGTTCCCGCCAATCACCAACAAACTCACCGCTGCCGCAGAGCTTTCCCGGACATCCATTGGTTGCATAATTGCGTAGCCGGGATTGGTTGGAAAGCGCCACGTCCCCGCGAGCGCGCCGGGTTGCGTGGACCGGATTCCCGCCCAATTCTAGTCCCTGGGCCTGTGGCATGGCCGCACCAGCCCCCTACTCCGGCGGCATGTGGGCGCGGCTGCCCAGCCGCCACGTCTCCTTGCACAGCGCATGACTCGGTCTCCACCGGGCTTTTCAGATTACCATCTCGTTATCTTCCTGCGCACAGCACAGGTTGTTTTCGTCGATTTTATCAGTCACCATCCCAGCTCCTCCTTTCCCTCCACTACCGTTCTAGTCTGTGTCGGCTCCATTTCCCTCCACTCCCTCTCATATCTTGCCCTCCGGCCACCATCATCCCCGCATTCCCTAAGAGCCTGCTTGGTCACATGCCTCTGGTCTTTGTTCATCAACAGGCTTCGTTCGCCTGAATTAAGTACGTTTTTCAGATTCTCTGCCCCGCGAGCTCCAACAGAAGTCCCGGTTCAAAAGTTAGCTTTAGAAGCCTTTCCTGACCCACTCAAGAAAGAAAAGTTAACGCGTGGAGTCGATTTGGACTCATTACTCCGGCAGAGCCCTCTGCCATGAGTCATCGACTCATAGTGACCCCATAGGGCTTTTGTTGTCTGAGCAGGCTGTTGGGGTCAAACCCTGACCTTTCAGGTAGAAAGGAAAGCTTTAACACTGTGCCGCTTCTTTCGTGACACCAAGCATAATATGGCGATGGGTGTGGGTTTTCATTTGCCTCCATACCACTTTGTAGGGAGCTATGGTGATCGGTTCAAACCCCACCGGTGGTTCCATGGGAGGAAGATGGGGCAGTCTACTTCCCTAAAGATTTACAACCTTGGAAACCCAGTGGGGGTCGCTATGAGTCGCAATCCACTCCATGGCAGTGGGTTTGGTTTTCAGGTATACCACTTTGTATTCCTATCTTCGCCCACCTTTCAAACTTTATGATAAAATGCTGCTTATACGTTCATCTTTCTCTAGACTAAGCTCCAGGGTAGAGATCTTACTGATTTTTCTATCTATGGCTCTGAGCTCTCCGACCAAGTCAAAGTAAATGCTCAATAATATTACGCGAACTGAGTAAGTGGGACCCAGAAGGTTGCCTGTCTCTCGTTAAAGAGAAACACTGAAAAGTAGTCACTTATTCATTCCTTTTCATTTCGTGAAATTGAAACAAGTATTTATAACGAGGTGATGTTCACAACGCAGAGTATAAGTCTAAATTCTTAGCACATAAAGTAAATAGTTTAAAATCTAGTTGAGGAAATAAGTTGTATACACATTTTTAAATAATGAAATACAAAGCAAGTCAGTTTATTAAAAAAAAAAAAAAAAAAAAGTTCACTTTTAAGTGCCAAGAGGTTAGCAACTAATGCTCCAGGAATTCAGACAAAGGAGTGACTGTAAGCCTCGGTGGTAGCCAGAGAGCTTCATAAGAACTGGTGACTCAGGCTGGAATATGAAAGTCCCAAATGGACTGTGCAGAAGAGAAATGAGGAACAAGGGCAAGTGGGATGTAAATTCTCAGGCTTGGTAAGGGATGAAGGAGATGGGAAAAAGTGGGCCAGGAAGGGAAAGAGCAGAGGTAGGTTCCCTGGAGAACCAATCTGAGGAGGCTGAACGGAAGGCAGGGGGGATTGTGGGCCTTCCTCTGAAGATTTTTAAGGCTGTGCCAATGTGGGGTGTGGAAGGAGGTTGAAAGTAGTTTTTTTTTTCAAGGAGACACATCTCCTAATAGGGATTAACTATAGGAACAGGCTGTTTCAAGACGAATTATTATTTTTTAAAAATGTCCCCTTGAAATCAGGCACTGTGCTAGGTGTTGTTGAACCCACAATGAAGAGGACATGGTCTCTGCCTTCAAGGAACTGCAGCCTAGTGGGAGGACCATTCATTCTGGAAGATCCTGATGGAGGCTGGATGAGGAAATGGGGTTCTGTCAGAGATGAGGCCCTTGTGCCCTGAGATTCTGTGTGAAGGGCCTGAGCTAGGCAGGACAAGGGACAGGAAAATGAACAGGTAATTTTTGAAAGTGGAAATAAGTCCTGGACTTAGTGACTGGTTGGGTGAAACAAGGAAGACACAGCACTCAAAAATTAAAAGTTTTAATCATGGGAGTCTGTGATAATGAGCCAGATGATTGGAAGATGAGGGAAATGGTAAGTTGAGTCTATGGTGACGGCAGAGCATCTGAAGAGAAAGAGCCAAGAGGCTGGGGGATATTCCTGAACTTAGGAGAGGGGTCAGTGACCAGGAGGCAGTGATGTAGCCATGAGAACAGGTGAACATTTGGAGGAGGAAAAAGCAGATTAGGCTTCATGGGAGCCCCAGAGTTAGAAGACAGGTGGAGGGGGAAGAGGACTTGAGGGGTGACACACATAAGCAATGTCACCCTAGGCTGCACTCAAGGCTCACCCAGCCCTGGAGTCTGTCTCTGAGAGAAGCACTAAAGCCCTGTTTGTGGCAGGTATGATAGTGTCAATCTCTAAAGGGTGATGTTCTCCTTCAGGTGACCCAGCTCCACTCACATGCTGCTCCTGAACATTCACTTCACAAATCAGGGTATTGAGTGTTTCCTATGTGCCAGAAACTTCTGAGATAACAGCAGCAAAAAAATGGATCAAACTGTCTCATGGTGCTTATATTCTGGTTGTAGGGATGGAATAGCTGAGACGGTTAATGAAGGAGATAAAAAGTTAAAATATATTGTAAGTGGAAGAAGCCTGTCTTAAAAAGGTACATATTGTATGATCCCACTGTGGTGCAGTGAATTACTTGGTATGGAATTTCTAGCCACAGTCTTTGTAACTAACACCGGATTACTGGGTGGGACCATGCAAATAAGGTGTGTAGAACTCTGATGTTGGGATTGGTTAGTTTTGTCACTCTGCTAGGCTTAAAATGAGCCTTCCTAGAGGCAGAGAGGGGATCTCACTGCCATCAAGAGAGAAGAGCTAGAGGTGAAGTAGAGTGTGTTCTTGGACCCAAGATCCCTGCTCTGGACCTCCTTGGCAGAGGCACCCAGCAGAGAGAGATGCCCAGTGGAGAGAGCCCCAGTAGAGAGAGATAGTCACAGTGGAACCAAGAGGCATAAGAGAGATGGGCAGGTTTACCTGGCCCACAAAGTGAGAAAGCTGAGTTCCCTTGGGCAGGAGACTTGCTGATGGAGTGGGGTACACTAGGTATACCTATCAGTAGAGCTGAAAGAACTTCGCACCACTTGCCCAAGCAGGGCATAGGCCAGGCTGAGAGGCCAACGGCCAGAGAGGCATGTCTGAGGGCACAGCAGAGGGAAGACT